TAATTATATCAATAACGTGTGAATCAAATGAATGAAAACAAAAAGAAATGTCTGTGTATTATTGACAATTATCATCTATATTTAAAGATCGACTGTCATCTTTTGTTAATTTATTTACATAATAATCATTCTCTCATTTAACAAAACTGGAAAAGAAAAATGACGAATTAAGAGTTTTGTTTTTTAGACCAATATTGATTTGTTACTATTCATAGGTATTGATGGTGATTGATATAGATCATCATCTGTTAATTGAACATTAGGTAACATTGAATGAAGTATTGTACGTAAATGTGCTGGTGAACAATCAATTGTATTACCAAATATTTCACTTGGATTACGATGAAAATAAATTTGATTACATATAGCTATTTGTAATTCATTTTCTAGAAGAAAAAAATTATAAGGTGTTAATATTTCACAAATATGGTTGATGATGTATTTAATTTAAAAAAAACTTACTTCTTGCCCATTGTGGAATTGCTTTCTTCTGATGTGTACTTGTTTTAGTGGCAAAAATTGAATTATCTTCACTTTCGTCATCAATAGTCACATTTAAAATAGTCATGTCATAGTTATTTTGTGTTTGATAATCGTCAAGAGATTTGTTATTATCAACAACAGGTTGAGCTCTAAAAAAATTCAATGATCAGTTCAATTGATGCCTTAGGTTAAAATTAAATCAATGTTTACCTTGTTCGTAACGAACGTTTTGTCTGATGACGATGCTGTTGTTTTTTAGTTTTTAATGCTTGAATACCCATTAATGGTGGTCGAACATTTCGTGATGGTGAATTTTGCTGAATAATTGGTGAAGAAGAAGAAGGAATAGATGGCTATATTTAAATAAAAAAGAAATCGTTTTTAAATAACTTACAAGCAAGACAATACATTGAAATAGTGATTTGAGTACTCTCATCTTTTCGATAAACAAGAAATGAACTGATTTAATTGATACAACTTGTTGTTTTATATAACGAAAAAGAAAAAGATAGCTCAGCAGGGATAGTCTATATAGCAGCTCCTAATCAGTCGTATCAACATTAATTGTCATCGAAGCAAGACTTTTAACAAGTACTCATGAGAATAAAAAAAAATAACATAAAATTTCTAATTAATATAAATTACATACCTCAAGCAAATAACGAAGAAAACTTTTTCGAACATAATCAGGAATTTCATGAAGAAGACCAGATTGTATTGGTGTTGCTGATGATGATAATTGATGTTTTTTTTTAAAAAGATTTTTTGTTTGAAATAATTTTTTGAATCTTGATGATGGTTTTGTTGATATTGGTTTTGAAGTCATATGATTTGAGAGAATTTCATGTGAACGAAGTTTCATGACCTAAAAAATAGTTAGATAGAATTACGATCCATTTTCAAGTAAAGAACAATTTAACGAATGACCCATGCTTCCGTTCGAACGTTAGATTTTCTCCCGTTCTCTCATTAGCAATGCTATGCTGTTTCGTTTTTTCTTCT